TCAACTGACCCGACCTGCAATTACGTTGTTATTTAGTTTCCAGGCCAAACACTTGGCCCAGTTTCTTTGGGTGGCTAGTGTGCAAAATGGATATGATATAGAATTTAGAATTGATTTATATTTCACATACTAGGGTATAATTCACCGATGGGAAATCACATATTTCTCATTGTTTTCTTTTAGTTGGTGATGTCGTTCGGGGTTGATTTAAAAGTTTTACGTTGTTTGCTGGGTTTACGCCACTTGAAGGAAATTACACTTTACCCATAGTTGCCCTTTAGTTGGTGTAGTTGTTGAGATTTTATTTTATGTCATATTGTGGAATTTTGTTCCTTTTTAAGTAATGTCAGATTTTATCTTATTCACGGATTTCTGCTTAGCCTGTCTAGTCCTGCACGAGAAGTTGTCAGTGGTAGCAAACCAATTATAGCACAGGGATGTTCAACTCCTTTTTTCTCTCAAAAGATATGGCCAAAATACATCGATGATCATGCCATAATGTCAAAAGATGTCATACTACATTAAACATATTGTCCTTATAACAAGGACATTCGACAACATCTAACATTATACATGTCGTTTCTCTTATAAATGTGCATCATACTAATCAGTTAAACTCCTTGTCGTGAAGTGATCTCTTTTGTTAGAGGGTCTACTATGGACATCATGCACCCTGAGATACTACCAGAGGTGAGCTCTTTCTAGTATAGCTTAGGTGCTTGGGTTGCTCACAGGGTCACGATAGCTCTAAAGGCTACAATCCCTGAAGCTATAGGTTGGGCTGGTAGTGGATTGGACACTTATCAATGCAAATTCTTCTGAGTGTGATTGAAATCCTTTGTCAGCTGACCCGACCTACAATTACATAGTTATTTAGTTTTCAGGCCAAACACTTGGCCCGGTTTCTATGGGCGGCTAGTGTGCAAAATGAATATGATATAGAATTTAGAATTGATTAATATTTCACATACTAGGGGTTCTACGCAAGTGCATTATCGTTTCAAGTAATATAAGATTTTCTTTAGAGATCCTAATATCGATCCCACAGAGAAGCGAGGTAAGAAATCCCTTAGGCAAACTCTAGAATACTACTATCAGGCCTTAGTTTGGAATTTTTGAAAAGTTGGTTTTCCTAAATTTACTAATTTACTATAAAGTTAAAGTTAACTAAATTAAATAAAAACTAAATCTAAAGAAATGGGTAAATTTTGGAAAGTTTTTATATATGTAAAATCCCTTTCCCCTTACGATGAAATCATAATTAATATAGGAATCAAATATTTAATGATTTGAATGTAGTTTTGTGACAAATAGGAGTATACTTATTTGTTATCCTCTTAAAATTACATAAAGAATATTGGTTAATCCAGAGTCAAGTTTCTAAATCCTTGGTAAGGTTGGGAAGATACTAGCTCTCACGCTAGAGTTTTACTATCCCTCCGCCTGAAGGCTAACATCCAGCCTTAGGCTCCCAACTTTAGGATCAAATTGAAGATTCTAGCCTGTCACTCTAGAATTATCAATTTACGCCCATCAAAACTTGTCTCTCTATCTATTTGCAATCTCTTTAGATTGTGACCGCTCTCCTCGTAAGGTTACTGTAGTACTAACTAATTGGGTGAAATCAAAGCCCTCTCAGGTCATTATGTTTCACAATAGATTTTAATATTAAAAGTGATCAGTTTGTAAAGTAAATTAAGAATCGTTGAAAATACCATCACAATTTTGAAATAAAAGAAATATTCAAATCATTCTAATCCTACACATAATTAATTCTCATCGGTAAAGAAAACAACTCACTTAGCATTCTTCATTGCAAATGACATTGAAAACACGCAAATATATTGCAATAATTCAAAGCAAATACAAACAAAGTTTAAAACTTATCTTTATAAAAGATTCACGCCCTCGCACAACAAATAACAATCATTTACACTTTTTTCGAAGTCCCAAAAATCTCCAACACTCCACACACACACTCACACACACTCGTCTCTTAGAAGAAGTGCTCTCAACCTCTCTAAAACTCCTCCTAAGCTCTTCTTCCTCTCCTCTCATGAGAGATGCCATCACCCCCTTTTTAAAGAGAAATAAAACAGCTCCTCATTCCGAGAGTCACACCTCTTCACTCTAAGAGACACACATTTTAACTTCAAGTCTCTGCATTCCAAAATATGTTAAATGTCAAAAGACACATTTCAAAATGTCTAGATTCATTGCATAACTTTTTGGGGCATGCACAGTTTCCCTTAATCTTCTAGGACCCCCTAGAATAGCCCAAAATAGCCCAAAACTACCCCTTAACCATTTCTGCCGCCTAGGCGCCAGAATGTGATTCCTAAGTGCCACTTTTTGGGTGATATTGACACCTAGGCGCCACTTTCTAGCACCTATGTGCCACCCTGTGTGTAAGCCATTAATCAAATTTATAACATATTTATTTTACACACTAACTGTTGAATATAAATTGAGTAAAGTTTTTTGCCATCTTTCAAAATTTAAATAATTGCATAATTGCGAGTCTGATCACTGACTTAGATGAATTCAGTACTCTCAACACTACATTTGAGGGGTCATCTGGGGATGACTCAATCACTAAAGGTGAAGGAGGGTCTTCTATTCGAATCCCTAACATTTAAAGATTTTTATTTTTATTGGAACAACTTCTTATAAAGCTTATGTAGATAAACTCTTTTTTATGCATAAATATTTTATACATTTCCTTAAGTTTGAAATGAAACAGAACCATTAAGTTATTTTTCATGCTTTTTATTGTTTTACCTTTATTGTTTCTTTGTGCTAACTACTTGGTGATGAGTACACATTTGATAGATGAATCAGACCTTATGAAAAACTGTCATTCATTTTTTATTTGTCATGGCCTGACACAAGTCATACACAACTTGTCTTATTTTGCTTAAGTCAAATTTATCGCTTTGATAAACCCACACCTTTCATTAGGACTTAGGAGTATCTTATCGCAGCCTTTGCGAGGGTAATTGTGGGGACACCGCTAAAGAGGGAACCTCCTCTAGATTTATATCAACATTAATCCTCGAGACTAGCTTTTTTTATGCTTGACATTGTGATCAGACATCTATAATGTTGTTGTCTATCAAGTTTATTTTCTTTATATTGTCTTTTGACTCACATCCTAGACTTTTCAAGCTCTAAGTTACTCAGTCGGATTATCGCTTGGTTAAGCCTCATCATTTGCGAGGACTTTGGTGGATCTTGTCCCTATATTTACGAGGGTAATCAACGAGGCTTGCTTTTATGAAGATTTATGCCTTACCTCTCATGGAACCACCTCTAAACTTTATCTGATTCAAATGAAGACCAAGAATTTTGATTTAAGAGCTAGCATTGTGGATTTATTCTATCAACTAAACCTTTTTGGGGTTGTCGTAGGTGTGATTTTTGGAGTTCAAGTTCTCCAATTGTTAGTTGAAGACATTACAAAAATTTATCATAGCAACATCAAAGTTTTTTGAAGTAATACTCCCTTTATAATGCCTGGAATATGCCAAGCGATGCACATGTATGGTCAGTCAAATCATTTTGACCGTTCAAAACCAGAAATCTATTTTGAGGTACTCACCTTCTAGCCAAAGCCTTTATGAAGATGATGGAAACGACATTTTAGGTTCCATATATGTTGCATAAACTTCTTAACTTGCTCCCTATATACGAGTTTTTGAGATCCATTTCTCCTCGCTGGTGTCACTTCTCTTCTTATTGGTAACATGCTCCATGCTCAACACATATTTTAAGAAGTTGAATCCAAATTTATTCTGTGAGGCATGCCCAAAAATTAGAGTGATAGGGACCTTTAAGGGGAAGTAGAGAGGAGGGGAAAAAGAGATAAAGATGACACAAATACTTGTCTCGTAGGAGCAAATTTGGGTATTCCTGGGCTGTGTGACCCATTTTTTATGCGGCAACTAAAGGATTACAAAAAAGAAAAAGAGAGAGATCTACTTACAGTGTATGAGTCTAGATATAAGAGCCAAAAACCTTTTTTATATGCTATGGATCCCTATTTATAAAAGATAAATGATCATATGGAGGACAATTACATATCTTCCCTTACTTTAATGGGGGCATTATAAAGTATTGCCGTCTTAATCATGCTTTTTCGTATTCTTAACTAATTTTGGCATCTTTCAATGTACCTGGTCCTTTGGGTTGATAAGCCCTCGAATCGGTCAACCAAGATGGTGTCATCTTGGCTATTTTGCTTGGATGTCGGTCAACATTCATTCTGAGAATCTGGTCGGCCTTATGAGTGGTAGTTGGTTGCCCTAGTGTGATCGGTCGGCTTGCTTGGTCCTCGATGATTTTTTGGAGATCTTTAGGGAAGTTGTTGAGATAACCTCAAGTTGATGCTTGTGAGATTGTCATAAACTAGACATTTATTCGGCTTTTGGGTGAATGTATGTTGCTTGTCGACTTCATGGAAGTGCTTGTAGCTTTTCATAGGGGATATTTCTTAGTTTATCTCTTGTAATTTAGACTGTCAAATTGTCCGGAGGTTTTTGTAATTTTTGGGTGTACAATCATATTTTAAGATTTTTAGTTTTTGGTGCGTTTTAGTATTCTTATCGTTAATTACTATAATTAATAAAATTGCTCCTTAGTGACCTCAATTAGATTTGCGTACGTAAGACGTACGCAACGTTGCTTACATCAGAGAGGTTATTTAGAGGGTCAGAGAGTATTACGGGTTATATTCATGTTATACCCCCTTATAACCTACCTGTAACTTATAAATATAAAAAATTAGAAGCGCGGAATTTATTAAAAGTTAAATGTAATTTACAGATAAATTATATGTGACATAATACGACCCTAAGCAAACTTTTTCGCAGTTTGGGCCCGCCCCTGCCCACATGAACTAACCGCAAAGGAGGGTAAGTCGTCGCACGGGAGAGTCTGCTAAATTTACCACTTACGTACAAAGACAGTCAACTGTAAATACTCTGTCACTGTTTCTTCTCGTTCCACTTCTACTCTTCTTGTATAAGACCAGGGTTTCGCCTCCCCCTCTTTCTCTCTCTCTGCCTGCTAAAGACCAGGAAACGCCGCTTGCTAGGTCTTCCAGATCTCGACGACGAGTGACATCGGCCTGCGATTGTAGACAGTCATGTCTGCAGGCAGATACATGGCCTTTTCCCCATCGCCCTCCACCGCCCCGCACTCCCCCCATATCACCGGCCTACGCTCTGCTGCCACCGCCATCGTCGAGCAGGAAAAGTATGTCTTCCTCCGTGTTCACTCCCTTTGTTGTTTTCGTCGATTTTTTCCGCTCTGCATCGGCTTATTTTCTTGGATCTTGCGTCTTCCTTCGATTCTTACCGCGATTCTTAAGCGATTTGGTGGAGTCTGTGCTCAGTATATTACCCTGATTTTGTGGAAAGATCTGATTTGATAATTTACTGGTTTTGGTGTAGATTGTTGATAACTGCTTTTCATTTAGATTTATTTCGTTTTTAATGAAAATTTAATTGAATTTAGCGGACAAAACTGTAGGTATCTGTCAGAATTGTTGGCTGAGCGCAACAAACTTGTTCCTTTTATGCCGGTTCTTCCGCACTGCTACCGTTTGCTGAACCAGGGTGAAATTTCGAATCCAATTACACATCTGTTTTGCTTACCGCTGATTCATATGTATGTATATTATTTGATCATAATGCCTTTGAGAGCTCCCTAAATCTGCAGAAAATACTCGAGCGAGATTGTACTAAAAATCTTAGTCTACCAGAATCCTTTGTTTTTCCGTTCAACCAAATATTTTTAGCGTGATCTTGGTTGACCACAGGTTTATGGGACCTTTTAAGCTCTATTCTGAGGAGTATACCTCTTGTTCGATCTATTTGTTGCATATTTTTTGTAGCTTCAGTTGTTCTGTTTTTTGCGGTTCATCTTTGTTGTATTTTCTCTGTGCAGTATTAACCAACTGTGCAAACTTTTGTTAACCTTATTTCACTTTCCCTTGGTGATGTTAATTTTGGTAGCTTTTTAGTTGTTGTGATTAGGCAGACAGTTTCTATTATTTTACCATTTTGAAGAAGATTATTTTGATGGTAAATCTGAGAATGATTTGGATAACTAAGTTCGTCCATATGTTTTGTTTGGGAAGAAGAAGAAAAAAAAGAGTTAGCAGATGGTGTGTTGGAGCATGATATGGAACTGATGGAAGAACATGATGGTTCAAACACCCTGAGTGAGAGAGAGAGAGAGAGAGAGAGAGAGAGAGAGAGAGAGAGAGAGAGAGAGAGAGAGAGAGAGAGAGAGAGAGAGAGAGAGAGAGAGAGAGAGAGAGAGAGAGAGAGAGAGAGGAGCACCTTGAATTGTTATGGATAATTAGCCTTTGAACTAGATCTATATCGGCTTCCTCACATACAGTTTGGAAGGGAGATTTTCTTAATACCTCCATCAAAGAGGTGAAAGTGAGGAACCTGGGTTGGTTGGCCACCTGAACAAGGGAAAATCTAATTGCTCATTTCATCATTAATAACACAATAGAAAATTTGGCCGTTATATGACATTAGCTAACCTTAGTGCATTTTTCATGAAGACCCCAATAAATGGGATTGGAATAGATACCTAGAATTAGATAAATTTATAAATTCCACATGAAAGTCCAAATGCACGGAGTTAGCATTCATAAAATCTAGTTCATATGGTCTAGAAGATCAATATTGAAACATTAAATCATTTTCTTAGCTTGCTGCTGATGTTGCATCAAAGTATCTATTTATAGTACATATTTTGTTTGATCTCTACTTTTTTTTTTGCATTCAACTAAAAAGATATAAAATACGAAGGGATGCCATGTAGGCATGTACATGATGAGAAATATCAAAACTAAGAAAAGGAAAAGTATATGAAAACCTTTTACATCTTTGCTCACAAAATTCTCCCGTAAAGCTAACTTTGTGCAACAATGGGCTGTCTTATAATTGTCTCCATCAGTAAAATGAATTAAAACTTGTTGGAATTGTGTGAAAAAAGCTAATTCGTAACAATTTGTAGCCAGACCTTCCAGGCTTTCTCTTGCATTGTATTCTTGAAAACATTTATGATATGTATGTTATCTCCTAAGATTATGCCTTTAATTCAAGCATCCAATGCACCAACATGTCTTTAATACAACTAACCATTTTACGCTCAACTTGAGTAGTATTCCAGTGCTCAATTTAGAGTATCTGTAGTGACGAGACATTCACTTTTCTCATCTCTAACAATCAACTTGATCTTACTAAATGTGAGAGTACAAGGGCTCCATCTTTGTTTTTCGGCAGCCACCTAGGAAGGGAAGGGAGGTGGGGGTGGGCATTAGAAAGAGGGAGACAAGTGTCCTAGTGCTCATGAGGTGGGAAAGCAAACGGTTGTAAGAAAATTTAGGTTTATGGCAGCTAAGATGCCCGGGGCGACATAGCGTTCTCAATGTGTCTAAGAATTACAACTTCTGGAACATTAATAAATTTCTATGGAATTTAGAAGTACTTTTTTGGCTTCATCCCAACCTGCTAACCGAGCCATGTTGCACCCACACTTTCTTAACATATGAGAACCTTAATCAAAATACTACAATTTTCCACAATGTGCCCACAATTTTCAATTCTTGCAGCTTTAAGGATACCTGGTCGTCTCACATTGTTCCCTTTTATTAAGCTAGAGGTTAGTAGGCACTACATCTTTGATTAACCTCTACCAGAACATCAGGTGATGTGGGTATAGCTTGACTTTCTTGAGCCAACTATTACTTTCTATAAAGCTGGGAAAAGCAGTGTTGTAAGGTACATCAGTAATAGTACACTTGGTAAATTGCTGAGTTCGTGTTAGTCCTCAGAGGGGTGGTTGTGAAGAGTAATCTGCACAATTTTCTAATATACCTCCATCCCAAAGCGAAGTTGGAGCCTATCAATATTCCAGTAGCCATTAAGGATGAGGATTGAAACTTATTTTTTATCAATCTCATGTGTTCTGATAAGTTGGCCGTTTGGCCAGCGGGATATCAAAGTTCCAAGGATGATCGAGAATATCAATCTCGATGTCGTTAGCCACTTTCCTTCTAACCTTATGTTGAATACTGGCAGCTCCTTCATTTAAAATCTTCCAAGGAATTGAATAAGTTCTATTAAAATTTCCTACCATGATGGTAGATCCATACCTCTTCTTGAGGTGATGATGAAGTAATGAAGTCTTGTTATTCATGAATTCCCAAGCTTGCCTGGCACTGTGGGTTGCCCCCCACTGTGAGGGTGCATCAAAGCCAAGTCCACCAAACTTGTTTGGATGACACATATTCTCCCAAGAAATATTGTGCAACCCTTTCTTATTAGCACCCTTTTACCCTAAAAAAATGTTTACACTTCTTCTCTTGCTCGTTTAAAACATCTTGTGAACCTCAGCATGGGTAATGGGATAAGTCGACATAGAAATACAAAAGTTTTTATGATGTCAACTCTACCAGTGAAGGAAACATTCTAGACCCCAACGTGATGAGCTTACTAGATGCCCTATGAAGAAGCTTGGAGAAAATCTTTTTTTTTTTTAAATTATCTGAGGGCTATAGGGATCTCTAAGTATTCCAATTCTTCAACTTTTTGATATTAAGAGATTCTGACAATCCTCCTTTATATCCACCCGAGTGTAGATTTGCTGGATAACATTGTCGATTTGGTAATTGTAATCCTCTAGTCCGTTTGCTCATTGCACTCTTTTTAGTTGGTTTGATTGAGCTTGGCAGTGGATAAAGAATCTTTGTAAAATGGTTGAATATCATCTACATATAAAGGATGTGAGAGTGAGTCTTGGTTCTCTATTTGCCAAGGAAATGCTAATGTGTTGCGCTCTTTGAGAGAGCGCCAAGGAGAGGAGTTCAGAACGCAAAATGATTAAGTGTAAGTGAGGGCACCATTGCCAAAACCTACACTCCTCTTCAATCTTGGGAGATCTTTGGCCTTTGATCATAAGACAAAATTTGTGCCACTTCACGCAGTAAGGAGTCCAAGCAATGAACTTAGGTGGGATACCCATTGCTTGCATAACTTCATGAAGAGTTTCCTAATTCATTTTATCATATGCTTATTCCATGTCATTCTTTAATTCCATAAGACCGGATTTCACTACATAGTGTTTGAACTTGTTGATCACCTCCTGAGCTAAGAGGCAATAACTGGAAATGGATCTTTTGGGCACAAACGACCCTTTTTCTTTTGAGATTTTAGTGGGAAGTAAACCTTTCAGACGGTTCACCAATACTTTAGCAGCAACTTTTTATATTGTTTGGCAAACACTACTTGGATTGAATTTTGAAGGAGAATTGGCATTGACGGTTTTACGTAGAACAATTATAGTGTCCTTCCAATTCGCAGGCATTCAGATTCAAAAAAATCTAAGGTGGTTGCAGTCACCTCTTTTCCACGATAGGCCAAATTTTTTTTGAAAAAAGAGGGGCTTATGCCATTCAACTCAGATGCCTGATTGGACCCCATGCTCTTGATAACATTCCATATTTCATCTTTAGTGACTAAAGATGCAGTGTTACCACCAATAAAGCTTGATATTCTTGCAAAGTATATGACCAGTTGGACAAAATAATATGAGTGCTCGGGCATTTTTTTTAAAATATTGCATTAAAACCTCTTGAACATTGCTGGGGTCATTTATGATAGTCTCGTCCTCCATTTTTAATTGTGTCACCATATTAAATCTCCAATGGGAAGTGGCGATAGAATGAAAAAATCATGAATTCACATCCCCTTCATTAAGCCATCTCACCTTAGCCCATTGCATCCACCATGAAGAATTTTTTACCACTTGATATTAAGCTCTAAACTAACTCACAAAGTTTAATTTCCAGTTCGGATGGCAACCTCTCATCGTAGGTTTCCTTCAGTTGAAGTTCAACAATATTATTATCCAATTCTTGTTTAAGATCTCCCAATTCTTTGATTTTATTGTTTCTCTAACAAGGAGATGTAGTGCAAGTACCTCTTAGTACATTATAGACAAGAAATTTTTCGAAACTTCACCAATTGCAGCAAAAGGATCTATTAGTAGAGAAGTACACTACTGAATTTGAATAACTTTTTTTGAAGTGCGAGTTGGTAGAGCCAGACAAGAAAACCATAGCCCGGTATCTTGGAGGCTTGAGATCATTTTTTGGCAATGTGGTGTAATTATATGCCTACAAGATCTTGCAGGATGGGCATACATATACCCTAAAGGTGGAGAAGTAGCAAGGCATTTGATCCACTCCACTCTTCAAATAGAGTTTGATCAGAGGGTTAAGCACCAAGTGCATACAGATCAAAGTAACAAGGGTCACTCATTGTGAGAAGGAGCCGACACAGAAAGAAAAAAGGATCAATCAGACCAACACTTCCAAAAAAAATTATCATCAATAAATGTTTCAAGTGTCATTGATACAGACGTAGAAGTGATTTCTTTTACAAACAAGGTTGTAGTGGAAGAAGCAAATTGTGGGGACTCTAGGCATGTGGAGAATGGCAAAATGAGTATCAACTACCTGCAAACGAGGCTGAGATGCTTGTGATTCGATGAATTCTCTAAATTGAACTTAAGAGAGAGTAGTAGTGACTTA